GATACAAAACAATTATATATTTTATTTGAACGTTTATTTCATATATCAACATATCATATTGAATTTAATTTTATTGAAAAATCTTTATTATCAAATGAATTTTATAATGATTTAATTTATTATCATATTTATTGTCAAATAAAAGATAAATATATAAATATAAATCAACGTGATGATTTAATACAATATACATTTATATTAAATAATAATGATGAATTAAATACACATTTAATACTTGCATCTTTTTTTCGTGAATCACAATTAAAATTAATTATACCATATTTAATTGAACAATGTCAAGATGAAAGACGTTCAGAATTAACATTAGCTGCTTTAAATCAATCATTAATACGTATGAATAAATTGGGTTTAATTTTAGATGAAATTTATTTAAATAATATATTAAATATATTAATGAAATTAAATGTATCATCAAAAGAAATTTTACAATTAATAAAATTATGGAATACATTATTAAATCATGGTACATTTGTTTATACATTAAAACAAACTCATTGGGATAATGTTTTATGTTTAATAAGTAATTTATTTTTAAATTTAACTGATGTTAAACAACAAATTAATCAACAATTTACATTACGAACAGAATTTTTATTTATTCATGCTTCTAATTTATTAACAACTATTGGTAAACTTTTAACAAATAATGATAATGATAATAATAAACAAGATGAAACGGATTTATTTAAAAAACAATTATTAGATGAATGGTTATTACTTTATAGTAAAGATATTTATCAAGGATTATTGCCACTTTATATTGCATTGCCTAGTGAGTAATGTTATTTCACTTTTTTTCTTTAATTTCTTGAAAAATGTTTTCTTAGGTGCTCTTGCTGAATTTTCATCATTCTATGTGACAAATGAAATGGTTAAATCGATATGTTGTGCAATGTGTACTATTCCAACTGATTATATTCTTTCAAATAATCTAAAACCACTATTTCATTCTGACGATAATGAATCAACATTATCTGAACCAATTCAAACAGTATTTAATTATTTATATCGTTTACTTTGTTTAACACCAAATCGTCCACTACAATATTCAGCATATCATTTATTAAATAAACTTCTTCCACATATATCATCAACACTTATTCTAAAAACAAATAATGAAACAATAGCTGAAGATAATAAAACATGTCGTCTACCTGGTTCAATGCTTGAAGCATTAGAACGCACTGAAAATACAATAAAACAATTATTAAATGAAAATGATTTTGTTGAAGAACATCTATTAGATGATCATGGACATGAAATTATATCTGAAAGATCACCAACCATAGTTGTGACTGATAAAGAACATATTATTATTGGTGAATTATTAAATTATAAATTATTACTTAATTTAATAAATTGTTATTTATCAGTTGAACAACGTTATACATATAAATTAATGTTACAAGAAAAAAAATTAGTTGATCGATTTCTTTTAATTGCACTTGGATTAATTCCTGCTAATCCTGTTTATAATGATCCTTTATCTATGCAAGTATCATCTATAACAAAAAAATTAACACATTCAAAATCAATGTTTGAAAATGATATTCAACTTAATCCAAATGGTAAGTTAAGGAGAAAACAATGAATACTCAGCCAGTCAAACAAGACTGCTAAAAAAACGCGTAAAATTTGTGTAGATGTACACGTTCTTACGGCAAACATCACTCAAGAAAGCATATTTTTGAGTGGGTGAAATTTCGTAAATGGCAAAATTTCGGAGACCATGTTTTCTTAAACACGTTTAAACGTATTTGTCTCTTGAAATTCGTTAAAATGCATAATCTTTAGTCCGATAAATTATGCTTATATGAATAAACCTGATATGAAAATTTGTATTAATACATAGCTCTAATTTTTTTAAAAAGAACGTTAAGTCATTTTTTAACAATCATTAATAAAATGGGATATTCTGAAAGACGTGCGACTATTTTTTTTCGTTTACAAGTGTGAGATTATGCCAGTTTGTATTATCTATCTTATTTAACACGTTTTGTCGATTATTTTTTCGCAAAATTTATATTTGCTTCTTATCTACTTGTGATATGCCATATAGTTATATTTTTTTTATTTTGTGTTTCTAATATGTATGCCGTCATATAAGTTTTCAAGAATATTTTTTATTTATATATTATTAAGTAACTCTTGATCAGTTGTGCGTGAATAGATGTTTGTTATATTACATTAAGGATATGAACAAGTCTAACAGTGGTACAACGAAAAATGAACTACTGTTTTTTTTTAATTTTCTCGCATATGAATAAGCCATATTGACTGAATAGAATCAATTGCAATGTAAGGATCTTTTTGCCTTTTCTGTTAACACGAATACGTGTTTATATTTATCTTGACGAATCGTTTTTTCTCTCTACAGCCGCTTTGTTTGGTGATACTTCTCCAGATAAGCGATACTCTAGTATCCATACTCTTTGTATGCATCGTCAGTTAGACCAATTAGTGTATATATGGCGTGGTCGATCTTGAGTCGAACTCCATTATGTGGCTAATTTAGTATATTTTGCATTAGTTGATATTTTTAACCAATCACGTGGTTTGCTAATTTTTCTTTTTTTTTGCAATGAGTCATAAGACAACTTTATAACATAATCAAGATAAAATTTCGTCCTTATCAGAGAAATAAATAAAAATATAAATTTTATGATGCTGACATTGAAATAAAGAAATGCGTTTTTATGAGTTGTTTTTTTTTTGCTCGATCTCTCTCAATAGACAGTATGTTTTAAGGTATCATAAATCGTTATTGCTTTTGAATAATTCAGTATATCGAGTAATCTAGTTCTAAAGAATTTTCATATTGTCATGCCGTCATTATCAGAAAATATTCTAAGTTTTGTAAAAATTTATTTTTAATGACTCAATCGTCTATATACATGTTGGAATGTGTTTTTTTCTCTTCTGTTCTATTTTGCACATCTTTGTATTATTTATGTTAACTTTCTCATTAGTCTGGTTGGACTGTCTATTTAATCCTTTATCCTTTGTATGATAGTTTCAGTCCTGTCTTTCACTCATACTACTAAGTTATTTTTTTCTTAGTAACCTTTTCATTTCTATTTACGCATAGCTTTACATATTTTTGGCAACATATTGCTTTTTTTTTCGTATAGTCAGTCAAGATTTAATATAAATGGTAGATCGACCACTTAAACGAGTGGTTTTAATATGAGGCAGTCTTTAAGTTTTTAGTACTCTCATCGAAATTATTTACTTTAACTTGGACCAATAGAAATATTAACTATGAGTATAACTACGAAGCTATTTTAAAAATTTCGCATAATCTTAATAGTTGTTCTTTATTTTGGAGTTTCTGTCTGTTGCAGTTTTCGCTATTCGACAATGCAGGTAGTTTTCATATTTTCATATAGAATCCGTTTGGTCTCGAATTAATGTACATCATTCAATACAAACGCCCAAGACTACAAATGAGTTGGTTGGTAGAATACTTCATCGCTGAGTTCTTTCTTTTTTTCTGAATGTTTTACTAGTTTAAGTTTATCTGCATTGGTATAATCTCCTGTACAGTATTCTCGGAAGAGATTCAAGTCAGGGACGAACAAAGTCTAATAATCTAAACGAGTAAAACAGTTAGCAGGTATGAAAAAAGAGATTGTCCACTTGTTGAACATTCTGTCAGCCAACTCATTTGTAGCCTCGCTCAACTCTATTGAAAAACGTATATTCTTCACTGAAGCAACTTGTCATCAATTATACACTTCACTACAATGAAGTACTTAAGCCGTTCTTGTAACGAACATTCTCTGAAGGTCTATGGGAAAAGAATAAGAAAGAAAGACTTTAACTCGAGGGGTGCAAATTGAAAATGTGAATGTCAACATTCACATTACTGTTTACCAGCGAGATCATCTCATTCCATGAAGTAAATCTTCATTTTTCACATGTCTTCAAATTGAGATCTATGGGGAGCGGATGTTTTAGTCAAGCATTCGACCATTTATCACTTTTCTAATAGGAAAAATCAATCTGAGAAATGCACATATATTTTTAAAAAAAGCTTCAACTATAAAATATTTCATTCTTATATTTTTAGGTGATCTAACTTCAACTTATACAATTCCACACTTGGCTTGTTCTGTTTATATTCAATGCTTAAGTTTAATTCCAGCACTTGTTCGTGAATGGTATCATAATCAAACAAAACGTATACGTGATGCTGTTGATCGTGTAACACAAAAATATGTTAGTCCTATATTAATTCAACAAGAACTTGATACAGCATCAACATTAAAAGATATAAATGTTGGTGAAACAGGTTTATTTACTGTTAAAAAACATTCAAATACACGTGAAATAACAGCTATTTATAATATTGAAACATCACGTGTAGAAATTTGCATACGTTTACCAATGAATTATCCATTAAGTATTGCAAGTGTTGAATGTACACATCATGTGGGTTTTACAAAAGAACAATGGAATAAATGGATGTTTCAATTAAAAACAAATTTAATTCAAAATGTAAATAAATTTGAAAAGAAAAATTTTTATTCTTTTTTTTTTCTATTAAATTTAGAATGGTGGTATTGCTGATGGTTTACTACATTGGAAACAAAATATTGATAAAACAATGCAAGGTATTGAAGAATGTTCAATTTGTTATTGTATTTTACATACAAATAATGAATTACCTAAACGAACTTGTCGAACATGTAAAAAGAAATTTCATGATGCTTGTTTGGTAAGTTTAAAAAGAAAATATTACTGTAATAAAAAAAGAAGAATTTTCTTTTAGTTTCGTTGGTTTCGTTCATCAAATAAATCTACATGCCCACATTGTCGAGCGAACTTTTAAATTTTTCCTTTTGTTTCGTTGTTTTTAACTTCTATTATTTGTTTGTTTGTTTTTTTTTGTTTTTTTCTTTTGATATAAATGTGCTATATCAAATATACTCTCTTGGATACGAACGAAACGAATATTCTTTGATTATAGATTATTTATGCCAACAAGTTTAGCTAAAGAATCGGCAGCTTATGCTGCAGTTGATGAAAACATTCGTAGTGTAGGTAGAAACAAAAAATAAAATAAAAGAATTTTTTATAAAATAAAGATTGTTTTTTAGAATGTTCATATTATTGGCATTGGATCAGGCTCAACAATTGTTCCAGCAGTGCAAAGAATTGGTATGGTATTGAAAACAAAAAGTGTTTTTGATTGATAATTTATTTCTTTAAAATTTCTAGCGGAAATCGTCCATAAAGACAACCTTGATTTAATTTGTGTTCCGTCTTCATTACAAGTTTGTGTTCAGCTTGAAGAACTTAATAGATAATTCAAAAAATTGATTCTTTTTCATTGGTCATCTATTATTAAAATTGATGAGAGAACCATAATCTTAAAACAATTGAGTAGTTCTAAGAAAAAAGAAAAGTGTAAGATACGGGGCATGGATAAATGATTTTTTTTTCGATGATTTTCCTTCAAATAAGAAAGGATTCGTGTTTTCTTTTGAGCATCAACTTGGTTATTATTTGATCACATTTTCTACCCTGTATTTGATACGACGATAAATCTATGATAAAAAATAATTCTCTTTTTCTAGGCTCGCGAACTTATTCTTGCGAATCATTTGCACTTGGCTAGTCTTGCTGAATATCAAGTGGTTAGTTATTGTGGCTTTTTGCTTTCATTTGCTTTCGGTTTTGTTTTATGCTCAAGCTTGATCTTGCTATTGATGGTGCTGATGAAATAGATGCTCAATTTAACTGCATTAAAGGTGGTGGTGGATGTCAAACACAAGAAAAGCTTGTTGCTTTTTGTGCAAAGAAATTTATTGTTGTTGCTGATGAAAAGTAAAAGAATTTAAAATGCATTGATTAGCTCAGATAAATTGTTTTATTTTCTTAAATAGAAAATGGTCAGAAAGTTTAGGTACTAAATGGAAAAAAGGCATTCCAATAGAAGTTATGCAAATAGCATATAAAGTAACACAAAAAGAAATTGTAAAACAACTTGGTGGTGAAGTTGTTGTTCGTGAAGGAACAGAAAAAGTCGTATGTTTGAATTAGTACAAGTTAGATTTTAAACAAAAGAATATGAAAAAATTCGTAGGGTCCAGTGTTAACGGATCAAGGAAATTTCATTCTCGATTGGCAATTTGACCCTTCGAAAATTTCAAATTGGGCGGATGTTAATCGAACATTAAAAATGATTCCGGGTAAAATAGATTTTGTTTTTAAATTATTAGTTCTATTTATTTATGATATTTTATAGGCGTTGTTGAAACAGGTTTATTCGTAAACATGATTTATAAAGCATATTTGGGTAACAGTGAAGGCCAAGTTGAAGTTAAATCAAATCCTGCAATATCTGCATAATTCTTTTCTTCCTTTTTTTTTTGTCTTTTTGTTTTTTTTTTGTTTTGAGATGCTATTCTAACTTTACACTTTTCAGATAACTTCTTATCTATAATGACTGAATATCAACTTCAAAATCCACCAACAGATGGAATTACATCTGTACATTTTTCTCCAAATAATCAAAGTCAATTTTTAATCGCTTCGTCATGGGATTTTTCTGTTCGGTAAATATTCATTCAAATTGAACAAATCATTCCGAATTTACAATGCAAATAAGTTGCAAAATTTATATTACTTTTCTTGAGCATGTTTACAGCGAATTAAGGAATTAATTGACTTTTTATCTTTTAATGAAAATTCAATTTTTTTGTCAGATGAAATCTTATACTTTACTAAATTCAATACTCCGAAAAAAATTCTTTGACTGCTTGCTTTAAAATCATATAATGAAAAGTTAAGCATTTATTTCTCTTATTTAGTTTATATGATGTTAATCAACATACATTCCGTCATATGTACAAACATATCGGTCCTGTATTGGATTGTTGTTTTCCAGTATGATTTCACTTTTCAAAGAATAATTCTTCAATTTAAAATTGTTTAGGATGCTTCACGGTCATTTAGTGGTGGTTTAGATCGTATTTTAAAAATGTATGATTTTAATACACAAAAAGGTAAAGATTATTTTCAATTAATTAATAAAGTAAAGATTTGAATTTTAAGAAACTTTAATGGGATATCATGATAATGCAATTCGATGTGTACATTATTCACCTGAAATAAATATCGTAATCACTGGTTCATGGGATGCATCCGTTAAATTTTGGGATTCACGTGTACCTAATTGTATTGGCTCTTGTTCATTGCCTGACAAAGTAAATTCAATAAATTTTAGTTTTGGTTTTTTCATTGATTTTTTTTCTATAGGTTTATACATTAGACAGTGTAGGTGAATTACTTGTTGTTGGAACAGCACAGCGTAAAGTATCGGTTTGGGATTTACGTAAAATAAATAGTCAAACTCCAATTGAAACTCGTGAATCAAATTTAAAATATCAAACACGTTGTATTCGTTGTTTTCCAAATAAACAAGGATATGTTCTTAGTTCAATTGAAGGTTATTATTTAATATGAACTTATCTATTAAACTTTTTGTTTTTCATACAGGTCGAGTTGCAGTAGAATTTTTCGATCCAAATCCAGAAACTCAAAAGAAAAAATATGCATTTAAATGTCATCGTTCAAAAGACAATGGCATTGAAAATATCTTCCCTGTTAATGCTATTGCTTTTCATAAACAATATGGAACATTTGCAACTGGTGGTTCCGATGCATTTGTAAATATGTGGGATGGTGCAAATAAAAAACGTTTATGTCAATTTCATCAGTAAAATATTTGTTTTATTTGATTTTCCAATGATTTTGTTTTATTTTAGATATCCAGCTGGTATAACAAGTTTGGCTTTTTCAGCTGAAGGAAATACGCTTGCTATAGCATCGTCATATAATTATGAATATGGTGCTGATCTACAATTAGCACCTATTGATGTTACAAAAAACAATATATTTGTTAGACGTGTATCTGATTTAGAAACTAAACCTAAATGAGAAAAAAAACAACAGATAATTGTGTTTTCTTTTGTTCTGTCTCTTGTTGTTGTTGATATTAATAGAAAAAAAAGCAAAAAAAACCTGTGAATATATTATTCTTTAGATGGTTGATGAAACACTTTTTGATTATCTTCATATGGCTATTGTTGATTTTTATAATAACGAGAACGAGAATGATGTTGAAACAACATCGTTATATTTATCACAAATAGGTAAAAATTTTCGTTCTCGTTAACTTTGTTTATTCTTTTCTTTTTGTATTTGTTTGTTGTAAAGGTTATCGCGTGGGTTATTCACTTAGTGAAAGATTATCAAAAGAAAATCCACGTTATCGTGATGAATTAGATACAGTAAAATATCTTTGTAAAGAACTTTGGATTTGTTTATTTAAAAAACAAGTGGATAATCTACGTACCAATCATCAAGGTGTTTATGTAATACATGATGGACGTTTTCGTTTATTACAACAAACACTTGTAACAATGAACAAATCTATTGATAATACTAATCGATTACATGCACTGTATATAGCATATTCTACTGGTTTAATACGAGGAATTTTAACAAATATGGGTTATCCATGTCGTGTAACAGCTGAAATTGCGGATTTTGGTGTAAGATTTCAAATTGAAATAAATTCAGCAGTTGGACAAAAATAAATCAAAACATTTTCTTTTCTATGATTATAATCTTTTTCTTGAATTAAATCATTGCTAGTTTAAAAAAATCGATTATTTAGTAAATATAATAGATCAAATGAATATTTATTAAATTATTCCTTTCACTCGTAAAGATATTGAAACATTACTGATTTTATTTTTTGTAGTCTTGCTGATAGAATAGAACCACTATACATGAGTCGTATATCGTATGAATATTATTTACCCTCAATAACGGGTCTTTAGCTTCATTGCGTTCTACAAAAAAAGCAATTCTTAAGATGTGATGATTGATATACAAACAGAAAAATTTTAGTTTTTAATAGCAGGATCAGAGAGAGAGGTATAGAGCCTTGCGCAATAGCTTACGACGATCACAACTAAATATAAGTAGCCTCATCAAATTTGGTACTTGTTACAAAGAATCAACACACCTGAACTAAAGAAAAATCTACATATTTCTTTATAGACTTAACACTGACTTCAAGACAAACTGTCACTAAAACCTGTTCATATACATATTTATACGCCACAATTGATTGCTCCAAGTAGATCTCAATAAAAGCTATCGTTTGCATACTATTCTATAATTGATAATTGTATATATAGGGTATTTTTCTCTATGATATCAATACTGTACATCGTTTATAATCGTCTTTTCTCAACCAAAAATCACCATAACTTACTCCTGTACGTAGGTTTACATACCATATTGTTTAACCTGGGAGAAGATTTGCCTGATAAATAATAATCTACAAAAGCTGAGAAATCCTAATAATTCATGTTGTTAACACCGATCTGTGAATGATTTGAAAATGATAAAAAACGTTTTTTTCACAATCAATAATAGGTAAATATTGATGGTCTTATTCTTCATAGTCAAGTGAAACAAACTCGAGCGATTTGCTGAGATTCAATTATTATTCACTTTTGTGTTTTTTTAACGTCATCTTTTATTAATATGAGACCCATTTAATTTTTCTGAGCAATTTCATTCATTCATTTACAAGTTTTATTGAGGTTCTTTTTGTGATACGACGTGAATCCTTCAAAAAATCTTCATATCATACTACGGGATGATCAACATAATCTCGATCATTAATTTATCAAGAAGGCGTACACATTTGTGCATATTCTCCGTTCATTACTTTTCTGTATAGATTACTCCTTCAGATGAGAGGATCCATTGTTCTTTTTCTTTCAAATATTCAATATGATCTTTATTCTAGTCGCAATACTCCTCTTGTTTGTCTTATGTAGAAATAAGAGCTCCTAAAAGTTGAAAATCCTTAATAAAACGGCTTCGATTATTCTCAAATTCAAAGAAAACAAACAACATCTTGCAGTATTAGAAGATATCTGTAGAAAATGAACTTGTTCATAAACAGTATCATCATAATCGACAACAGTTTTATATAATACTCTATCTTCTTATTGTAGATATTGAAACAAACAAAAATATTTATTTCTCTTTTTTTGTCTTCGAATAAATGCATTTTATATTATATTGATTTGTTTGTGTGATATATTTCAATATAAAATGCAACATGAAAAATAAGAAATTTACTGTTTATTATGAATTACAAAAAGAATGTCCTTTTTGTGCAAAGTCTATTGAATAAGAAAAAACAAGAATCAAAAATGAGTTATTTTAATATTTCACCCAATCACGTACAGTTTACGAATATTGACATATGTTGTTATGCATGACTGCTCACGTTGATTCAGAGAGCTAAAGATGATTTATATTTGTCACGTAAAAAAATGAGTAAAACGTCTGCGTTCATAGTGACTAATCCAATGTATACTCAAAAACGTTTTTTTGAACCCTCTGTATTTGCATAACAAAAACAACGAAAGTACACAACATCGCTGAGTATAAAAGACAGATAGCTTTCTTCATTGGTATTCATTTATAATAAAAACACAAGTTTTATACATAAAACAAGTAAGTATACACATTAAGTAACAATAAACAATAGATTTTTTTCATCTTTATATTATTTCTAGTCTGATTTAATATAAACAATGGGTTGGAGTAGTGATAATCTCTTTGGTGGATATGGTGGATATGGTGGATATGGAGGATATGGTGGATATGGAGGATATGGTGGATATGGAGGATATGGTGGATATGGTGGAGGATATGGAGGATATGGTGGAGGATATGGAGGATATGGTGGAGGATATGGTTATGGAGGCTTTGGTGGATTTCCATATGGTGGAGGTTATGGATATGGATGGTAATTGAAAATATTGACATACGTATTTTTATAATTGATTCCCTAAATAAATGTAAAATGACTTTCATGGCTTTCTATTAAACAATTTTGTTATTTTATGAGTCTTTTCGGATCAGATCATATATATTGGATCATGATATGAATTCTACATTTGCAGGATATCAAATTTTCAGTCAGCAAAAAGTGAATTAAATTCACTGGACATTAGAGTACGCTTGTGAATAAAATGCAGCAAAATACAGCTTCAAAGAGCTCGAACACAATCGACTTTCGACGATTTTTGAAGTTTATAGATTGGTGTTGAGTGTTAGTGCACATATTCATACTTACAATTTGAAATGGATAGAAAAATGCTGAAAAGAAAAATATCGAAAGGAAAAATGTCAACGTGAAAAATTGTCGAAGTGTTTTAGAAAAATCTGGCTAGCAAAGGACATGTTTTATTGTATGAGTTAATGTTAACATTGTTACAGAAAACGAACATAAGTCAAGAGTTAAAAAAGGAAAAAGAATTATAAATTATCATATTTTTGTTTAGCAACTGTAAATGATAAACTATCTAAGTATTCCATAACATTTATAATACTGTCATAATATCGTTCACCAAGATTGTCAGTACGACATTGAATTGAAATTGTTTTGACTGGTTTCGGTCTTGCTCCTAAACCTGCATTAAATTGAATACACATATGTTAATCATCCAAATTTTTATAAATTATTGATAAATATCCATTAAGTGTACATTTTCAATATTTGATAGTTGTTATTTTATCTAATTTGAAAACATATTCATCTGCTATGAGAAAAGGTTTTTCTTTTTTTATGAGCGTATTAATGAAATGGCAACCCATTTAGGTTCAGTGAAGTCTGCTGAAGATGGAGCTACAACAGTCATGACAATAGAATTCCAAGTATATAATAGTTCTTCGTGCGACTCTTTTAGTTAATCTATATCAAGGTATTACTCATCATCATTACTATTGGTTAACAATCTAGGCTAGTAGAATTATAAGAAAAGTAACAATGAACTATCAGTGCTTAGAGCCATAATTTACTGAAAACATCACTTTTTTCGATATTTTTCTACTTCAATATTTAGTTTTCGACATTTTTCCTACCATAACAAAATTTCAATATGGGCAGTATTTTCCTTCAGCTATCTTCTCGTTTTATCAGATTCGAGTTGGATAATTGATAAAAAGACACCAATATGAAACTATGATGAATTACAAATGCATGCTCTTTTAAAGGAACATGACGAAGATGTAGTAGATCTCTAAAACACGTTCTCAAGAAAATTTTCTAGTTTTCTTTACGAGAATACTGTTCTTATTGCTATTCGATTTCATCAATGCGACAACACATCAAAATGTATCACAAATGAAGAGATGTTTCTCAAATATAAAATTATTCAATAAAATTTTGTCTTTTGCATAAGACTATGCTCTTCCTATGCACTGCACTATCATCTAGAACTTCCAACACATTCATAGAATGGAAGAGCGTATCCTTATCTGAAAAAATATACAATTGAATATGTAGATTGAGATGTACTTAACGAAGTATGTCGCCTACTGATAAATACACATTTCTTTTCGCAAAAGAACTGCAACAGTATTTGTCGGAGCTGAATATGAATGATAATATAGTCATGCTTCATCTGTATTTAACAGTTCTTTTTCTACAAACCGTTTTGCTGTGGATAAGCATATTCATTGAGATGGCTAAATACTGATAAATAAGCTAGCAGTAAACTTCATTTTGAACAATTGCCATCTACACTAATCAAACTTTCATATAAACAGTTGATATATATCAATAACATTCATTACAACACTTTAAATGCCTTTTTCTCAGCCTCTTAGTCATATGGAGTCATCAACAATGCGAGTGATTGATCTTATATTTCAGAAAAAGTTGTGTTATTGTAAATCGTACCCAAGTTTTCTTGTATGTTTAATTCTGTTGTTTCAAGAATACTTTTCGTATTAACGATTTGTTTCCACTTTTTGTGGATGAAAGCTTGTGGTTGCTGGTTTTTATTTCACCCTTAACCAAAATTACAACTAAAACAAAACTTACAATTTCACCTATATCCGCCCACAGCCCCAAACAGTAGTCACAAACAGGGTATCCTTAAAAAATATTTCTCGTACTTTCAGACAAATTTTCATATCTGAGAATTACGTTAGATGAAGTAACTTTCAAGAAGGAGACATTTCAAAGTTTAGAAAGTATTGGCTGGATACTACAAGCGTATCTACGACTATGATATTTTAGCATTCTGTTTAGTTGAACAAAAAGATGTTAAGTTTTATTTTCTTGTACAGATGATATTGTATAAATAGTAGACTCTCAGATATGGTAAGACTTAATCAAAACTACATTTTCATCTTTTAAGCCATGATGGATGATATCGTTGCTAGAGTGTGTTTCAAAAATGAAGCAAAAGACAACTAACTCAACATATTCTTTTGAGAGTTTTGTTTAACCAATTGAACTTTGTATCTGACGATGAGTTTAGTTGATTGGTTCAGCTATATTAAGAACCGGTTACATACACTGACTCAGTTAGACGTTCTAGTGGTGGACTCAAGTGGAGGTGGAGCCAGCAGCCGTCTTTCAGTTTCAATTTATGTATGCTATACCCTAATTATCTTTGCATTTCTCACTATTTTAGTTTATTGTGTGTGTGTTCTCAAATGAATGATTCGAGAGAAGGACAGCAACTTATATATATATCTATATGCTCTACCTAGTGTTGTCACATAGATAAAATGTTCTTTCTCTTGTTGGGTATGGCTTCTATTCTTGTCAGACAGCTGATGAACGTTTGTACTAGACATGAGCGCGACCAATCATTTTTGGTCTCGGTCAAGAAGAAAAATTGGTCCCGGCGGGGCCTGGATCGGGACCATGTTGCCCATATCCAGTTTGTACAGTTCAGCATTGAAATAATCAATGGTTATCCTAACACTTCATTTGTGCTCGTTCTGTCGCTAAGTAATAAGTAGAGATGAGCGAAGCTTTTTCAGCGTCAGAAGTGATAAAATCATATCTTCAAATATCATCGATAAAAATCGTCTGAATGAGCTATCTATAATGTAATTATTTACATTCCGTGATTCCCATTGATATCGAACAACTCATAAACAAATTTTTAGAAACGATAGAATAGAAAGTTAGAATTTCTTGTATAATTCGTTTCTTAGTTGTTTTCGTTTTTACAAATCGCAACATAAAATTGAAGAGTTGATAGTAGAAAGTGTTAAAAACACCATCACAAAAACGGTCAATACTTCTTCATCTTCATATCCACCATCTCTGTCAAAATTTCCTGGATCCGCCACTGGAATGTTCACCATTGATCCTACTTATCTCTGCAAAAAGCCACGTTGTTTCTTAGTACAGATCACAGAACAAATCCAGAAATGCCTGATTCCGGTTTGTTCAGTAGTCGTCGACAAGACCATTGGTTTTACATATTTCATATAAATTTGCGAGAAATATCCTTAAATCCTTTTTCTTTTCTTTAGCTTAAAACTCAGATAAAAATAAGGTTTTCCCCAGTGTTGCTTGTGTCGACATGCGACATAAGAAATTAAAGTTATCTTATATAATCTCTTTCGATTGGAGTCTTATAGAGCATTGTAAGAAAAGTCCTTGAAAACATTTCTTGTTACAACTCAAATGGTATGAATTCTTCCTCTATTATCGCAGTGGTAATCAAGAAAAAAGAGTTTAGATGTAGGATATGAGCCACTGTATGTTTGCTTTGCTATGGAAACGCTTATGAGATCCATGCAGCTTATCAATACCCGTCACTAAATCAGCTGACTTGACTTTTTCGATAAGCAAAAGATATTCGATAGCGACGGCTCTAACTACTCATGGGCACATGCTATTTATATTCTATGAGGGCATGTCATCAATGTAAACGACTGTTTAGGACGAAGTAAGATAAAAAAACGATCATCTTTTGTTAAACCGTTTAAAATTAACAAATACAATGTTTTTCGATATTATCCGAACAGTGATTAGAGTCCTCGTATTGTTATGCTTGTCATTAACAACAACTGTCTATAGTCATTGTTTACGATGGCCATAATACACCCTAAAGCACTGTATACGTGTGTTGTACACGACCATCGTAAACAGCTGTCGTTTTTCACCGTAACTATTGTCGGCGCCAGAATTAAATAGGGGTGGGTATAAGCTCAATAACTCGACAACCGCAATAGCTAGCGACCTGCGGTTTTCGTCAATCGAAAGAGGAGGAGTTGGGACGCCTTTTTCTCTGATAATGTATAAGACGAAAACCTTTTAAAACTAATCATATTCGAAAAGCATGCAAAAGAACCCATGAAAATGATCTGCCAGCTCGATGAAATTTAGNAAATATTCTTATCGTTTGAAAGAACAAGTTCTAATTATTAAAATCTCTATCAAATAAAATCTAACATCCTCGTTGATTAGCAACAAAGAAAGATTCAACTATTCAAGATGGTTGTAGTGAGAATTAGTTGAATTAACTGAAATACGTTCAACTAATACACACAAAATAATTCTTTTTTATTTTAAAGAAATTTTCAATTCTGTTTTTTATCATGATCTTATTTTATAATAATTTGGTTCGTCTTTATAATAATCGTTTTTTTGTTCTTCTTATACTTGGCTCTAATCAAGTCCTGAATAATCACCAGTATCCAAAGCACACGGAATGTGAGAAGTCTAGAATGGTAAAAAAAATAGTTAGTATTTAAATCTGAGATGAACCGCAAGTAAAACTTACTAGTGAGGTATCCATAACAAATACCCTATATGCTCTTATTACACAGTCTTCAATTTTTTGCCCTTTTCTTCGACATAAATAACAGATATGTTGTTTAGTGTGTGCCGTTACAACAGCCTACATTTAAAATTAAAAAAACTCTCACTATAAATACTTTGGTATCGAATTCAATCGCAAAAAAAACTATTAGATTCTAGCCAAACCAGCACATTGTTTGAATCTTTCAATCCTTAGACTTTCTACTTTTATAAGTAATACTTACAAGTGGCTTTGGAAAAAAACCACCAATATTAGAACCATGATGCGTTGCAGTACTAACTGATGATGGATTAGCTCCATAAACACCACTAGCAATATTTGCTTGAGCATCAACACTTGTGTTAATATCATCACCTTTATGAGGACCAACAAATACTTGTTCAAGTTTATCTGGAATGATAAAATATTGAATATATGAAACGAGATGCTTTCTTAGATACATTTCTAATCATCAGAATTAGAAACGTAGTAAAATGAATTACTTACCAACATTGAAAGTAAATTTACCAGATTGATAATTAATACATAATGATCGTTTATCATTAAGATCTTTGTAAAGATATTGATTACTATTGTACAGTTTTTCATAGAAATATGTGTTGTCCATTGCCACAAATATTAATAAAAATGAAATCTAAAATAGAGTGAAGCGAAAAATTCGATGATTGAAAGAAAAATTCTTAAGTCACTTTTGATAGTTCTTCAACTGTTGGATTTGGCCAAGTAATTGATGGTGTACAATAGTCTACAAATTACAGCAGATCTTTAACAGTTGAATTGGTGTCAATAATATTTACTTTTCAAATAATTCATAACTACTTCAAGACCTTGTTCACGATCAAGTGTAACATCGATAGGTGAATATGATGGTGATCCTTTTTTGATTCACTTAAAATGAGATAATCCAGTATTTTGTTTCATTTTTATGAAATCAACTTACATTATATTTATTATCTTTATTAAGCAAGTTGGATCATTTAGTTGTTCGATCGTTTCAATTGTATATAAATTATCAATGATGTTATTGATCTATAACAAAAAAAAACAACACGATCCTTGAAATAGAACGACCTATACTTACTCCAAATAGTAAAAGACCTTTTTCGATGAACATTTCAATTATTAATGTAAAGATTAACACAACAAATGCTGTAATGAAAATCTAAAATATGTATATATATATTTATATGATGTTTCTTCCTGGCATTCGGACAAAACGATAGAAATTTCTTGATAAATTTTTTTATGAAGAATTTTATTCATTGTTAAATTAGTTAATTGATGAATAATATAACCAGTCGATGGAAAACTTGAAAATTTATATTGATGATTATTATTTGATAATATATTTGATGGTATATTACGAGCAAGTCGTTTAATATTTGTAGAACCAAATGAACGCGTATTAACTAAAAAATAAATAATTTATTAAAATCTAATTAATATAAATTGTTAGTTCTTTTCAAATGATGAGAAATTTTTTTTTATTAAAAACAAACTTTAATTTGTTCATTTGATTGTAAAGAAAGGTTATTATTAGTTGTTCGTTTAATTAATAATATTTGACGTTTTGTTTAATGTTTATTTTGATTATTGGCTTTAATATTATAAAGAATACGAAGATAAGAATTAGTGCCAAATTGTAATACATCAGGTATATCACGTAGAAAATCATACTATAAATAATTAGGGCACACCAAAACTAATGGCGGCCGTATCTCAATTTCGTATAGAAGGCTTAAGAAAACTTTCGGTTTATATACACTGATAGTAAAAGCAGAGCTCTATTCTTTGTTGTTTTCCTCTCTTTTCTTTATTCTTTTATAAACGGTAAGGCTTTAAAGAAGATAAGGATAAAGAATAAAGAAAAGAGAGGAAAATAAAAAATGAATAGATGAAGACAAGCATGTACATAGAAGACAATATAGGCTAAGGTTATCATTACATATCATAGCAAAACAAGTTTTATGGAAATTTTATTATTATGATATTAGATGAAAATAATGAAATACTACACAAATATAGAGCACTGCTTTTACTATCAGTGTATATAAAAAGAAAGTTTCCTCAAGCCTTCTATACGAAGTTAAGATACGATCGCCACTACTTTTGGTATGCATTAAATAAATCGATTAATTAATTAAATTAATTTTAAAAAAAGAATGATTTACTAATCTTAAATAATCGAAATTTGTGTATGAAATATTTTTCAATTAATTATGATGTTGATAATCAGCATTTAATCGGATCAGAGTTAAACCATTCGATGTGGATATAAGAAGAAAGACGAATACTTAGTTTTATTGATTCGTATAAACACATTTCTTATCCCTATATTTGATATATGAACTGTTAATCGATCTTTCTTTCTATTTATATACCAGTAAGAAGGTATCATCCATGTTATTCTTTTGTTTTCTTTCTACAACATAGCACATGAATTGTTCTTCTCTCTTTCTCTTTTCGTAAAAACAATTTCCTTTAATGAAATAAGATATACATAATAAACATATTGAAATGTTAGTTGATAGATTTATTTATTTAATCTTAATATATCGTTAGTTATTTGATGCACATACTGTAGAAATATCTAACTATTAGTAATAGTTAACTAGAATATATTCGAGTGGAATTTCAGATAATAACAGGTCGAAAATATTTCACATATTTCGGTTTATGTTATTCAAACAATTAAAATTACTATTCCTTTTCTCTCTTCGTCAAAAAAAAGAAAAGAAAACAACAACGAATCAAATCATTTTCCACAGTAAATGATGAGCTTTCAAAAAATTCATTCATTTCAAATATATTAATTATTCAGTTGACAAAAATATTACATTCGAATAATACATATATATAAGATGATACTCTCTGATTAGGATAAAAAACTTTATTAAGCGAATACTATTCCAAAACACCAGTTAACACTATTTTAAAAATTTGTAGATTTTATTTTCCAAATTATTTTCATTCTGTTGAACAACTATTTCAAAATGAAATGTATCTCATGAAATAAAACGTAAGAAAAAAGAAGAATTTATTCATTCGTCACTATCGCCATGGTAACAATCACTTCAACATATATTGTCATTTTTTATCTGAACGATTAATATGAAAAAAATGAGAAAAATTCGTCCGTCAATGAATATAATAAACAAGAGTATATCTACAAAAAAGTACAGAAATAATCATTTCTATATCAATACATATGGCATTAATTACATGTTTCGACGATCTACCAGATCTTGTATTAATCGAATTCTTCTCGTATTTATCATCTATCAACATTCTTTGGGGATTTACTCATCTTAATCAACGTCTGACAATGCTAATAATTGAACGAGGTTTCTTTTATCATATTAACTTATCACTTGCACGTTATGATCAATTTAATAAAATTCTTCATTTTCTTCCATTGAATGATATTCAATCACTTGCAATTGATAGTGATGCATCTCCACTTCAACTAACTCATTGGCCTTATTTACCTTGTTTAAGAACTCTACGTATCATTGGTGTCTACAATTGTGATGAGCTTTCACTCTTTGTTTTGCTTCATGCAGCCACACTCACTCATCTTATCATAAAATCAAATGAAAGAATGGTTCCGGTAAGTGTCAACAGTTTGTTTTAACACGTTTAGAATGATATAAAGAATCGAGGTTATTGAAGAAAGGATTGAAAACTCTGACATACTGGCTTCCTTTAAAGCTTATTCATAATATTTCTAAAACAAAAAAAAGACAATTCAATTGATGTAAAAGATGAATTATTCTCATTACTTGAAAATCTCAAATTGATCAAAACTGGAATAGAATATATTAGAAGTGACTAAAAAAGATAGAGGGATTGTTTTTTAGATATACCGAAAAATGAAATCACTTTTAAAAAAAAGAAATTGATATAAAAATACTGTCAAATTTCATTTGACAGAATTTGTCAGATTGAATAAGAAAAAAATATCGAGTTCAATGCTTTCCAGAGCTATGCAATATACAAATACATATGTAATTCAATTATATATTTGATTAAAAATAACTGTAGAACATTAATTCATGTAAATAAAATACTAAAACTTGCCATTTTTTCAATGCGTTGAAATCTAAAATAGATTTTTCCATTCAGTATGAGAGACTTGTGAAACAATCCAATAAAATCATTTGACTTTTCATTGAGGAACAGAAAATAGAATTAATCAATTCATCAAAGAACATACTACATTCAGGAATACATCTCAATAACAATCATACAACAACGGTAACTCATTAAACAGAACAAAGCTTACTCTAAGTTGTCAACAATTTTATTGCAAGATCTGCCAATCTATCTTTAATAGTCCTAAATATATTCAAAAAGTACTTTGTTTGAATAACTATCGCGAAATAATTTTGAAAATCTTCGTGAAATAAAATTTTGAACAAGAAAGATGCAGTTCAACGATAAGGTATACGAGAATGAGAATTGCTTCAAGAGTCTGAAGATTTGCATCGGTTACGACAAATTGTTTAGACAAAACTTCCTATAGATCAGCAGCCTTTTCAAAAGAATTGGCATTAATTGTGCATAATGACTTTACTTGGATAAAAACATTACTTTGACAATCGTTTTTTTTTAAATCAAAGCACTGCTACTTTGAATCTTACCATAAAAATATTAGTTAGCATTAGTCTTTGTTCATAATTCAATGATATTTGTATACTGTTTATTTTTCAGGATGGTTTGTCGATTAAATTCGTGTATCCAATAGGCTGCATGATGACATTAATAGATAAAGTTCTTGTTCATTTACCTGCACTTCAATCTCTCGACTTGGGCATGAACTATTATGGAACACGTTGGTCCATTACTAATGCAATAGCTTCTCTTACCTATCTACGCATTTCTTTGCCAAGTATAGATATCTTAGTTCATCTTATGTCAACACCACCACTCTTCAAGACATTACATCAATTACATATATGCATAAGTTACAATCATTCTCCTAAACCAACGGCTAATCTATCGATTCCAATGTTTAATTTACATACATTTACTCTTGTTCAAACATTTTTCTCGATGTATACCATTGAATGGATGCTATTTGAAACGCTAACATCTTCAAAAATTATGCCTATTCTTCAACATGCTAGTGTGTCTCTATTTATTGATATTAATGATTTAAATCGTATTACGTAGTTCATCTGCACTTTTCACTGATCATCGTCATGTCAACGTTAATTTCGCTTTTAATCTTTTCAATTGTCCCCAATACATCGAAATGACACAATATATCCCACGTGGTAATCGTTTTCATCCACGAGAAATTGTAGGTGTGACATTCGTTGTTAATCATTGGTCTAATAGATCCGAATGGCTCACTGATGGCGATCCTTTTGTAAGTGATTTTCAATTATATTTTCTTTAGTTGATAATCTAACTTTCATTCAATAATATGTTAATATATTCTTTATTTTTATAGAGTCGTGGACATCAATATAATCATCATATGTGGTATTCTCTTCCGTGGACATTTGATGAGTTCTTTCACGAATATATTCCAAAACAATGGATCACTAAAATAGAAGTGTTTGAAAAACCAATAACACTGATGAGAGTTGATCAATCATCTCTTCGGACTCTACATGCAGCAGGTCAAATATTGGCATCACCTATATTCTCTTTACCTCATGTAGCATTATCCGATTGTATTGAAACGTTGCATTTGTCCTATTATAATAAACCTATCAATATACAATTATCCTCTCTTCGCAATATAACTCTGGTCAACAGCATCAATTGTTTGAATTATTGTTCTGCATTTCCACCAACTATTCATTCTATTCGTATTCTGCTTTTTTATTATCTTCCTAACTATATGCTACCAAACTGCCCAGTGATTTTGGATTCACTTTCAAAGTTGCCACAATTGAGTTCGTTACGTATATTTATGTATGACTTGATAAAAACTGTCGATAATAAAAGTTGTCAAATGATCGCAAACATGGCATCGAAATTCAGTGATTTTGGCTTTTGCTTTCGATATAAATTCGACTTGCAAAGTGATAGCGAATTCGACGCTGTATTTAAAGATCATCCAAAATTTATTAAGCAATTATGTGATCGAATACTTAAGTTATCTCCGGACAAGCAACCTTGTTATCCAATTGAAGATGAGGGTTGTGGACTCACAATGTGGTTTTGATGAACAGATACCTCTGACAACAATCACGTTTAATTATTGTCAGTCTTCTATAATGATACATTTTTTGTGAAAAACATCATCAATTATTATTATCGTTCATTTTTTCTAATAATTGTATAAAATTGATTGTGAAGTCACATTATGAAAAAGAAAAATAAAGTTTGTTTTTGCTGACATAATGAATAGTGTTAGGAGAAAAACTATTCTCAAACAATACTGTTTCAACGAATTCGTCCTTACAGAGAATATTAGGTTGTTTATAGATTAACTGATATTACAAGTGGAAATGTTATGGATTTTTTAAAGTTAGGACAATTTTTGTCGATTTTATTATTATTTACAAAAAATGCTAAGACTTTGAAGAGTAATTTAAAGCAAAGTATCTAATGCTACGCTGTTTGTATCTATGGAATAGACAATGGCAAAATTTCAAGATGAAGTACATAAGAGTATGACTGTACTTGATACAGGAAAGAATATTTTATTTGTCAGATGTATACAGAAGGGGATTCAGTAGAAATACCGCAGAAAATGACCCACAATAATCAATGATAATGTAACATATAGGTATACAGATAAATAAAAATAGTCAATAACTGACGAGGGAACCGATTCAATTGATAAACCACTTGAGAGTTTGCATCCTATGCATAAGATAGACCCCAGTGAGGTATGAAAAATCCCGAAAGGGCATGTATCCATAGCCTTCTATCCGGAGTTATAGGCATTTTACTGGAATTTTAACTTCAGACATGGAATATATCATCAAATCGACTGACGGTATTTCGACCTGAAATTTTGCCCATAAAGAGATCTGTTTGGTAAGTAGAATGTTCTGAAAGTTTCAGCCCAAAAGAATGTTTCCTGCTCGAGATATTAAAGTTTCAAAAAGACAGAAAATTCTGACATGAGCTAACTCAAATAACAGATTTTTATAAAATTGTCAACATTAAACTTTGTTCTGCATTTTAAAAGAAGATCAAGTTTAACTTTGACGATGTAAATGACCAAAGTATTTCATATAAGTTTTATCTAATACATCAATTTCTGATAATTGAAACTCTGTAAGTACACCTTGTTGACGTAATAATGTTGTAAATCTTGCATCATTGGTTTTAAAACTGCCTTTGATAAAATCAGTTATAAGTGTATGTTCTTCGAAATTTCTTCGTTCTTTTTCAATTAATAAATGTGATAAAATATCACAGATTATGTTATTCTCTCGACTGAAGGGAGGGTCATATGAAAAAAAAATAGTTTGTCCGTTTGTTTGCTTGTCGCAAGGTCAAAAGAACATCAGGGTTAAAAGAACATCCCCTTAAAGATCAATACTCGAATATCTTCGATATGTCATTCAAACATTTCTGACAATAGTCTGTTGTGCTGAACGTGTATGGAATAAATTTATCCAAGTAATAGAGACCATCAATCCATCTATTTGAAATAGTGGAATATTTTTTACTTCATTTGAAAAAGCAACTATTCTTGACCTCTTTCACTGAGAACTTCATTCAATCATTATTCTCTCTTTCATGTGTGTGCATTAATTTTTTTTCTTTCTATTCTGACACATTCGTGTTTTGTTATCTTTCTTCGCTCTCTCTATTAGCTCATGTCATAAATCATTCCCTGTATCATGTTCGTTCTCATTCCCTGTCTTAAAGTGTTATCATTCAATACTCTTTCTGTTCTTCTTCTTTCGTCAGATCTGATTACATTTACTTTTTTTTCCATATATTAAAGAAAAAGAATTTGGAAGTGAATTATTCAACTAATAATAAATTGAAGAAATTAATTAAACCGATTCGTTTTATGTTACAATTGTTTATCTCATCAATGATTAATGATTAAAATTACTATTCATTTCTTTCGATCATAAAATATAAAAATAAGTATGACATTACTCAATGAATTAGAAGTAATACGTTAAACATAATGAATTTTTATTAAAGTATCAATTCTGGCAACTGATATTTCTGTTTAATTATACTGATTGCATTTCGAAATGAAGCATGATTGATCAAGATCAACTTTTCAACATGAAAAAAAGTACTTTAGATTGTTAAAAATGTTTTCCAACAAGATGGTAAGCAGTTTCACTACAATTTTTCGGAAGTTTTTTATCAGTAGATTTAAATGAATAATATGTATTTCTCTGGATAGAGTTTGATTAATTGTAACTAGAGACATGGTAAGACTTATAGTGAAGAGCTAAAAATTAAGTACATGAAGGTTGTTCATCCGTTTTCTCATATAAGAGATATAAAGATTGAACAAGGGCAAAAGGTGCAATCACATTTTAATATGAAAAAAAGGCGTCATTATGAATGTCTGTTGCTCTTAAACAATTGTTTTCGAAGAGAATATGAAATGAAACTAATCTTAGAATAGTTATATTATCTAAACGTTGATTGTGTCAACGTTAGACATATACATAATGCCTGTGTCGTATCAGTTTGTATGGATCGCTCAGAACGAAAGCAATTATTCAAATAGTAAGCAATTACTTTCGGTTACACATCAGAAGATCAAAACTTTTTTTTCTATAAAAAGAAATATATTTTTATTATTATAGCATCTATGTTTGTTCAACCGTTCTATCGACAAATATTGGTTATACTGAAACTAATAAAACATTATTATAATCAAGAAGCAAGTCACATTTTGTTTCAACGAATAGATTCTTTATTATATCTGTTTATTTTTTTAGGATCTTGCTCTTTGTCGTTCTTACATCATCAAATCGACATTGCAACTTCTAAAAGCATGTATGTATCTGATCTTTTGATCGGTAATATGTTTCGCCGTCAGGCGACCACGATTCGCAGTATGGCGACCACGAGCAACTCAATATGAGCTGCAATATGTTTTGCACGTATAGCGAATTTGAGTAGAAATTTCATAAGATAGATAATTAAAAAAATAGTAGGAATTATTGATTTTAGTGTCAGATCAAATGTAATTCGATGTGATATAAATTAATTGAGTGCGTATTTCGTATTAACGAAAACATTTACTTACAGTATAGTTCTAGCAACAAGTAAAATAGTTAAATAATCTTTCGAAAGTTACCTTTCGTTGGAGGAATTGATGAAAATAAGTTTTATAAAATATTTTCAAGACAGCAATGTACCTATATGATGAGAAAAATCTCTATACCAAAACGACATGTGTTTTTCCAAAATATTTTTTTTAATTTTCATTATTGAGATAAATCATGGAATCATAATATAGAATATACATGCTAAAGTCTCACAAGATTGTACTTAGTATTTCGGGGTGTGGGTGTGGGTGTGTATAAGTACCTCAATAACAGGTATCGTGATGTTGCTAAAATCTTATTTGGTGCTACAAGAGGGTGTCGATGTGGGTGTTAGAGAAGAGAGGACTCGCACTTGACACCTACACAGACATCTGTAGCTCCGAACCCGTGGCTACCATTGCATCTACACGCATCATCAATGTTTGATATCGAAACGTTCTTGTGAACGATGATTTGAACATCACGAACATTCATAGTCGAGTTGATGTGGGTGTAACCAAAATGGAAGCGACATCTTAAACCAATACACGTATACCCTTAGCTTCATTGTAAATTTTATTTGAAACTGAACATTGGAATATTCTTATACTACCTTCGTTAACGTCCGTATCAGATAAATGTCCAGTAAAACACACTTTTTCGTCATTGACGAAAATTAGACATTATAAGTTTTAGCATATGGAGTTGTAATATTTTTAGCACTTATGCGTAATTTTTTTTCTCGATCAATATCATATATTGTTTCTGAATGAATTTGATCATCATTAGAAAAAAACACATGAAATTGGTTTATCTGTGAGCTTAAAATACACTCAAAGCTTACTGCTTGATTTTCAAGAATAGTACTATATTGTAATGCTTCAAAAAATTTAACTTGAAGATCACGAACAATTAAATGAGCAGCGATACAAATTTGATCTATAAAAGTGTCTTTAGTTGAATCAGTTAAACTACCATTGATCATTCTCAGCAATTTAAATACCAACACGATACTATTGCATTGGTAGTTAGGTTTTTGTATAGGTCAGGCAAGTTTTCGATATTTCATATTGAAATGTAATCGTTTCTCCTTTCATTATTTGAATATCTTTGAGTAATTAAGTCAATGTGACAATAATTTTATTCGAGTTCTATGAAACAAAGGGTATGGATAAGAACAAAGATATTGATTTCAATCAAACCTACAGGCAATTACACTCTCGTTACTGAAGGAGATCAAGATTCGAATGAAAACTTTGTTTGAAAATTTCATTTGTCTTTTGTTTTGTAAATATTATTCACAAATTCCTATTCAGAATGTAAAACAACGCTGTTGAAACAAACTCTAAATAATTCGCATTGAAAATAAGAAACTCTGATAACTTGTTAAATTAAAAAAGCAATCATGTTCTCAAAGATAATCAATAAATATCTTCAAAATTTAAATAAACCGTCTGATGAAAAATTTATTAATGTTAAGTTAATTTAGTCCAACCATATGTGTCAATCTGCAATGACCTGCTGATTGAAATTTAAACAACAATAGATCTGGATCAAGTCATGGAATCAATGTTGTCTATGATCGAATATTTTGAAAAACTAATACTGTCATTAATTTAAAAAATAGAGTTTCTGTGAGAGTTATTAGCGAAAAAACTTCTTGGCGAGTGTTGATTTGATCAACGACCGTGACCTTGTAGGATCGAATGTAATTCTTCAGGCTCATAACATCAGAATTATGGGTGTAGATGTGGATATGGTTTTATGTCTGCTCTGCTCTCACACCCACTTCCAGATTAACATCCACATCCACACCAACCCCATTATTATTATCTTTTAATTTTTCTGTCGTATTATGTGAGATCCTCTGTTATTTGGTTTCTTGTAAATGTTAGAATTTATTTTAATTCGATAAAAATTTTTCTTAAAACTAATTTTACGAATATCATTGTTTGGTTATTTCTATCACTTTTTGTAA